CGATTTTTCATTCGATGTGGAAGAAACGCTCGCGCTCATGAGCGCTCATATGAACGTGAGCGCAGACCGCTCGCGCTCACGTGAGCGTGAGCGCTGATACCGCTCACGCTCATGTGAGCGCGAGCGAAAAACCGCTCACGCTCATGAGCGTGAGCGCGAGCTGTACACCCCTAATGTGAATATTTATGTTACCTTTATTTAACAAGATCTACATGCCTTTCTCGTCATATGTTAGTACAAATTGGACTTTCAATCCCTTATTCTTTTATCAACATATACAATGTGCAGAAAAGAAAGAATTTAAATGTAACGATGAAATCTATCAAGTTTTGTGACATAAATATTTTTATGACAAAATATTGACTCTGGCTTTGTGTCGAAAGAAACAAAAATAGAAAACAAATATAGAATATTCTTAATACTTATCTATGTTGAATTCCATTGATTTTATTTTTCAAAAGAGATTTCGTATGTCGATATAAACTTTAGGAGATCAATATCTACTGATTTGTCGAAAATTACGGTTTTCTATTTGTCTAAAGACAAAAACAACAGTTTCTATTGAATATTTTCTCATCATCAGGATCGATGCTACAAGTAAACTATTGTATGTTAATTTATTCTTCTATATTTCTGTGACCCTAATATGATTCTGAATATTTGACTTCTCATGAATAACATTTTAAACATAAGGTTTCATACAAATGATTTTGAATCATTATGAGAAATAATCTTTTGAAAATTGAGACTTTTTCTATAAAATGTTAATATTCGGGCAATTTGAATGTAGAAATTGATTCTGAACGAAATCTTGGGAATGTTTACCCAAATAGTTGAAAACATTTAGACATCTTTGAACTTCATCTGATAAAATAAAAATTATTAGAATTTATATCTAAGGTATAATTTTAGAAAATTATAGTTCAGTTATAGAATGTCGATCGTTAACCATACTTATCGTTAGAATAAAATCTGGATAGGAACTTGAAGAAATCCTAAAAACTGTGGCAAAATTCTGGAGATTCAGAATCCTTTCAGAGTTTTTCAAAGAATGAACAGGATTGAGATTAGGGAAATGACTTGTAGAACTAAAAATAAAACTAAACAAAAAAGAAAATTCAATTGATGATTTTTTACTAATATCGGAGCAGAACTTGAAGGTATTCGGTTAAAAAATTGAATAAGTTGAGAACGTGAGTCGCTAACGCGTACGATTTTCAGCAGTCGAAACAATTCAAAAAAAATGTATGGAAATGAACTGTCATTCCGATGAAATCTTTATCACAATTAAGAAAATTTCATATTATTTGATCGAACACATAGGCATTTTTAGTTTGCTCAGCATTAGGATATAAAAAAAAAAAGGTAATCATTAAACTGTTTTTTTAACTTTAGATTTTAAGTTCCTCCATCTAAGAGATATGTCAAAATCAAAATTGCATCGAACTAACAGACTATACACTCCATGCCGTCTCTTTCGATTGCTGAAAACCACAGATCGCTAACTGTTTGCATTCTTGACTTATTCAATTCTTAATCAAGTACCTTTAAATTCTGCACTGACATTGATTGTTTTATTCAGTATAATGAAATCGATTATCTCGATCAGTATCATCGTCAAACATACAACGGACAAAACGGCAAGAAAATATCATGGTTGAAAATTCTAATGGAAATAAAAAACAAAAATTACAAAGTGAAAGTAGTATTTTATGCTTATATTTAATAAGTATGATCTTTCTTCTTCTTGTTTTTTTTAGTAACAATAATCAATGTAAACAAGTCAGTTATTAAATATCTATTTGATCATGTAATACGCATTTATCTCTTTTTTTTAAATTTCATTTAGATCTCTTCTTGAAGACTTATCAATTTGAATATCTTGATATGTATCATTTTTATTAAAGGATTTTTTCATCTTAACAAATGATTTAAAAATTAACTTATTAATTCAAATCATTCAATTAAAATAAATATTTTAACAATGTCAAAATCGAATTTCGAAAATTATTATAAAAATATTCTTATACTAAATAAACAACAAATTAATTTGCTGCGTTTATCAAATCCATTTATTCTTGATATTATTTTCTTACCACCACGTATTACTTTAAAATTTGTTCGTCTTCAAACATTAATTCTTGATAAGATAAATATTAAATATCTTGATAAAATTTTTGATTATTTATTATTCGGATCTAATTTTCATTCATTAATTCTATCTCCTGCTGATTATATTGATTCATTAAGTCTTCTTTTTTTTTCTTCATATATTTCATTTATCGAAATTAAAATATTGTAAAATTATATATCAAACTAAAGATCATCAAGTACCATTATCTGCTTATTTAATTAAATATGATCGTAGTTCTATTGAATGTTTTATCATACATGATCTTCTTCCATTTGATTCATTGAATTATTTTTTATTATCTTGTCTTCCTCGACTTCAATATTTAAAAAATCATTATTTAATTCTTTATTTTGAATTGAAAAATTATGTTTTTTTTTTAACATCAACATTATTGACTACAAAGTTTAGATAGTGGAATATTTTATTCAACAAATACATATCGGTAAAAAGAAATTATTTTTTTGTTTTGTGAAACACGATCTACTACGTAGATGAACCAACACGGTCCCATTTAATACTCTATCAAAATTGCGAAATCAAATCTTTTTTAGCTCTTTTTGAAATATTTCATAATTCAATCCAACTGAAAATATCTTTTATCGTACTGTGTCCCATTATAAAAAATCTGAGAAACTTTGGATATTTTTAAACAGAACATATCAAGTGCAGGTTATTCATTTTTGAACATAACATTTGGAAAAAAGTAGAAGTATACTGAGTCTTGTAAAACAAAAAGGTTATTATCTATTCTTTCGTAGCATTTCTGCCTACTTTTAATGATGAAATCTTCTTTTGAGACAGTTTATCTAGTGATATTATTCGAAAATATGATTCAAAAAGTAGTGATCTTGTTGCATTGATACCTAATTCATACACTTCCAAATCATATTTAGATTAAAGTTGCAAAAAACAACACAAACTAAAATGAATGTTACACAAAAAATAATCAATATCTACTGATAAAATATCAGCAACTTGATAAAATTTTTGCACTAGAAAACTCAGTGTTTTCATTGAATGTGCCATAGAGCGCAAAAATCTTAATCTTCACCTTTATTGATTTATTAAAATTTCAAAAAGTGTCAAAAAAATTTGTTTTCGCAATTCTGATAGAATATTACATGGGGCATCCATTGAACAAAAAAAATTAGCTATCTACCATGCTCTTGAATGGAGACACATGCAAAGTAAAAAATGTCCCAAAACTTTTGGTACATCTAGTAAAAGGAGTGTTGAAAGATATAATGACAGAAGTTTCGATCTACCTCCCTCTCTCCCAGATCGTGACTATGAGCTCGAGATCCATTACGAACCATGACCGACGAACTCCAAAGATCATCAGAGATCGTTACAAACGTTTGTGATACTCTACAAGCGATTATATATCACTAAAATCTCATATGAACTCCTTTCTTATTGCAGTTCTAGAGGTACATCGTATTTCACATTTTAATCTCGAAGGAATTGCGGTAAAAGCTTTTTATTTTATTTTGTTCTCTTTTAGAAGAAAAGATTATATAAATTCAGTTGAACATGTTGAAATTTTAAAGTAAAGAAACAAAATATTATTTCAAAATATCAAATGAATCGATTAAAACAACCCTTAATCGTATGATTCCTTTAAAACAATTTACTAACTTAGTTATTAAACCTTATAATTTCCCTTTTGAAGAAATAGTGAAATTATTACGTTTTACACCTAATTTACATACATTAAAATTAGATTTCTTATCTTTGAATGAAACTAATCTAAAGTTAATTGAATAAAGTAAAATTTTTCAATATGTATCAAATACAAATAAAATAAAACATCTCGATCTTTGTGATTGGCATTCATATAAAAAAATTCAATTCATTGTTAATTTATTTCCACAATAGAAATATTTTAAAACTGGAATGAATTGAAAAAAAATCATTCGATTTTTATTATCAAAATCTAATAACAAAATACAACATTTATCCTTTTTATGTAATTCATAAACACCAAGAATATGTTTAAAATAATTTGAATGTTTTAATTAAATAAGAAAATTTACTTAATAATTATTTTATTAAATTTGTTAATCGTGATTTGTATTTATGGTGGTAAAAGTTTAGTTGTTTGGGACATGGTTTATTTTTTGTATTTAAATAAACAAGAGAAATAACTAAATTTCATCATTTTATTTTATTGAACAAATAAGTGCAACAAATCTAGAGTAATCATATTAAATAAAAGATATAACCATATAACGTAAGAAGATGTGGTTGGGAATGACTAGGAGATAAATACAACTACAAGCAAACTCACATCCTTCGCAAAACTGCTTCCTATAATAATGATTTCTGTCATTTATGTATGTAATGTTACATTTCAATATTCTTGTTTAAGTATAAACAATATCTGAACATGACTTCGATCGATCATATTTTGTTGAATCAACTAAATACGTTATAAAAAAGACAAGATGTCGAACGACTCTTTTTAAAACAAATTAAATCTTTATTTATTTTTAAGTAGCAAAATTAAAAAAAAAAATAACGAATCAACATATTGGCAACACAAGAAAAAAAATTTATATGAAAAGTTCAATTTTTAACATCAGTCGATTTTCGTTGTTGGCATTTTTTGTTATTGACATAGGTATCAACTTTGATTTGGTCAATTGATGTTTGTTGTTAATGAATAGTTCGAATTTTGATAAGTGTCAAACATCGTTTAAAAACATTGAGATTGACTATACGAGCTTCACTAGTTGCTTTTAGTGAGAATCAGTGTCAAACTTGTGAGATGTTACAAGATTAATCCAAGACAAGTCTATCTCACTCATGCCACTGATGGATATGGAACGTGAAATAAATTTTGTAATATATTCTTCATCGATCCATATTTGATAATTAGAGTGAATCAATTTTGGTCATAGATGTCATAATATCCTATCGAGCATTCAAGTAAAGTATATTTATTTCTAGACACTAAATATTATCTCTAGCAATGATCAGCTCATTAATCTCGAAAGAAGTACATATATTTAAATATGAGGAATTCGCGTTGTTTTCGGGTATTGACTTCATTACTCCTGGAAGTATGGCTTGGTGTCGAGAATTTAAGTCACCTCAATGTAATGCTGTGTAACTGTTCAATCGAGAAAATGTCGTTACCAGGTGTAATGGGATTATGACATCAATCATTTTGATTAAAGCAATATGAATCCATCGATCACTGATCGAAATGATATTTTTCATCACACAGAACACGATATCCAGACCGTTAACATTAGCATTGCAAAGTTGTATACTTAATTCACATTTATAAGATAAGAAGAATCAGACGGAGATAGAATATGACGTGTTTAAAGAGCGATAAATAATAATAATACTTAAGTAAACTTTCATATTCAGATAAATATCTGGACTCACCCAAAGGCATAAAAGCACATTCACTTGATTGAAAACCTATAGAAAATAATGATCGATCGAGATCTAATATTGATTATTTTTTACAATTGACCAAGTAAGACCTACTGGCAATACACCATTGTTCTTGTGAGCATTTCAATGATCGAGAAAATATTCACCGTCCATAGGCTAAGATCGTGAACGACTACAGACACAAGACATTCGATAAAGATCTAATGATTGATCAATGTACCAAAAGATATGATGCAATAACTCGCACGGCAATCGATCCATCCTGTCTTTTTCTTTCTTTTCGTGAAATAAAATGATGTGCATACAAGTGCCAACGTATAGCCTTTCATTGGGTGTGGGTGTGGGTCCAGCTCTCCTATCCATCCAGACTCGTAAGAAATTTTTCAGCAGAAAAAGGAAAAATTAACTTTACATCGAGATTCTTTTAAAGAAAATTCTAATAAAGCATGAAATTGAATTTAGTTAATTGTTTTTATATTGATGATAGCAAATAAATAACATAATTTATTATATATTTCATTTGTTCATAATCGAATATTGTTACAAGTCTGAGTTTTTATTTCAACAATGCTCGAAAAAGAAGAGATACTAATATGTAAAATTGTTCTAATACACATATTGAAATGAAGAGTTTTTGAATGATTTAGAGGAAATTCAATGCGATTCGAGGCATTTCTGAAAGTATGACGAATTATTCGACTTCACGTTTCCACCATTCACTTGTTAAGCGAATCATTCTATTAATAACTTCTACCATTTCGATCTTTCTTTTATTATTCATGAAAGCTATTTACGAAGACTTTTTTTTCAAGAAAGAAATATCAAAAATATTTAGTTATCTTTTGTCATCTTTTTGATGCGAACTGTTTCATCCTTGTATATATTCAACTGATCTTTACTGTTTTTTAAAGAATAAAACTTTCGATTCTTCTTAGACGTCGCAAAATTCGTCAATGCTCTTCTAAAAGCCCTTGCTATACGAACTTCTAACTTCTATTCTTATCAAAGTGAACAAATAATGAACATATACTCATTTGAAAAGAAGAAAATCTCATCAATTTTTGATAAATGTAGAACAAGCAATAAATTCGTTTTTTCTTGCATACTTATCACTTCTTTGTGCTTGATAAAGATACAAATATAGACATATGACATAGTCAAATGATAATTATCATGCACAGTGATAGTGATGATATTCAAATTCGTGAAAACAATACATGTAGAATATAATTTAAAAAAATCAGCTTGAAAATAAACGAGAAAAAATCGTTAAACCATGGTGACAATAGTTTTTTTTAATCATTACAGTGAATCGATTCGTTCAATAACTTCATTCACATTGTTTTTATTCATTATATATCAATTAAAATACAAGAACAACTTAAACTATATTTCTTCTATTTCATAATTATAAGAGATTCATATTTGTCAAATGATCTTATTTGATAAGACAAAAAAATTGTTCTATTGAGCAAGTTATCGAAAAAAAAAAGAATGTTTGACATTTATTTCTATATTTCTAGGGGAAAATACATGGTACAGGAAAAACTACGAACATAAGTAGAAGTCAATATGATTAAATTATTGGCTAAACGATACGCTGAATTTGTTGAATGGCTATAGTTTTCTTGGCCCCGATAAGTTTGGTCAATTTGAATGTTAATTTTACAATGACTATCTGTAAAATAAAAGCAAATGTAATGTGAATAAGAACAAACAAATATAAAAGTTACCCCGAGAATAAAAGCAAGTATGTATACTAAAGTACACATGAAAGAGCCCATGTGCTTAATAGTTGCACGACTGATGTCTTGTTGAGTAGCAACTGAGTATTTGGTAATGGTATTTCGTGCATGTCTATCAGTAAAGATGAGAAGTAAAATAGCAATAGCAACACCAACTAATTCAATAATAGATATCCAAGCAATCTAAAATTGAAAATATTTTATTGAAACAATATTAATCCAACATGTTATTTTCAATGTTTTCATGAATGTTAAT